CGAAACTGAGCTGTCGTAATAAAACGATGAACTACCTCTGAAGTCTTGAACCAGTTTGTTATAATTATATATGTATATATACAATATAATAGAGAATGGAGTGGTCAACTGAAGACTTGACTTGGCATCTATAATATGGTCCCACAAGTGTAGCACCCAGGCAATGGTTTATTTCAGAGCTTTACCCAGTGTCTGCACTGCAATGTACTGATGAGACTCACATAGGTCAAAACAGTATATAATATATATATGTATATAATATATAAAATATATCATATATATAATTTTCATAAGTAGTTTTTTAGAGAAGCTTTTCAAGATAAAAATTAGTGATAATTTTGAACGACGTTTCGACCTCGCTGAGGTCATTTTAAAGCTGATGAAAAGAAAAATTTGTACATATATGTACTAAATTCAAGACATGGGAATGATAAAGGCAATAAAACATGGAAATATGTAAACGCTAGGTGTAAAATAGAAGTGATAAAATTGCAAAGGAGACAATACGAATAAATTAATATGAGAGTTGACGAAAGTAAATTATTATAAAAATAGCTTTGCACGGATTGAGTCTGACTGTTTGTTCAAGCTTGGCTTAATTTCTTTTATGAAAAGCATCTCGTAAATTAGGCAGTCCAGTTTACTTTTGCATTTCTTCAGGATTTTGAAACTGTGATGCAAGTCACTTGGGGTATGCCCATGCTGCTCTTTAATGTGCTTCCCGATTGAAGACTGAGACACTTTGTGTTCTTGAGCACGTTGGTAGAGGTGCCGGCATGTGTAGCCGACATAGTCTGCATCGCACAGACCACACTTAAAGTAATACACAACACGTTGCTGATTGATGATGTTGGGCTTCTTTTCCGTTGGTTTTAACTCATATCCGATCTTTCTGTTAGTGTACACAGGAGAAATGTCAGTTCCATTTTTCGGCTTAGGTCGCCAAGTTGCCTTCGTACGAAATTTGCTGATGTTTGGTCCTTAAAAGGAAGTATAATTCGCACGGGTGTTTTTTTCTTGTCAGACGTTTGATTGATCCCTGGATCCCCATACACTTTCTTCGTGATGAAATCATTAATGGTCGAATGCAGTTGTTGAGTTGGGTACTTGAGTCGCGAGAAGGTTTCAGTGAGATGTTCGCACTCTTGGTGAAAAAAATGCCAGTTAGATGACAACTTAAAGGCACGATTTACCATTGTTTTAAGCAATGATTGTTTATATCTTACGTCGACGTGACTCTGTTAATGCAATAACAGACCAGTATCAGATGGCTCCTTGTACACCTTCGTTTCCAGACGGCAATTTTTTTGCATGATTTCAGTTCCCAGAAAAGACAATTTGCCGTTCACAGCCAGTTCCATGGTGAAACTGACCGAAGGATGACTTTCGTTCAGTGTGGCTAGGAACTTTTCAGCTGTTTCGGTGTCTGCCATTATGCTTAGTGTGTCGTCTATGTACCATTTGTAGAGTTCAGGCATTTTGCCTTGTTCCTCGAGTCCATCTTCAATACTTGGCCATTAGGGGCCCAAGTGGCGATCCCATGGCAACGCCATCGATTTGTTCGTACAACTTGCCCTCGAACTGGAATAACTGGTGCTTTGTGTGTCCATCTTCAATACATTGGCCATTAGGGGCCCAAGTGGCGATCCCATGGCAACGCCATCAATTTGTTCGTACAAGTTGCCCTCGAACTGGAATAACTGGTGCTTTGTGGCAATATTCAACAGCTCTGCCAGCTCTGCTTTTGTGATGCTGAGATTATGTTCTTTATTGAACCAGTCGTCCTGAAAAGCTTTTTCAGCAAGGATAGCTATTGTTTCGTCGACAGGAACGTTGGTAAAGAGCGACGTTGCATCGTATGAAACAAGGACACAACGATCATCTACTTCCATATCATGGAGAGCATCCACGAACTCAAAAATATCACTGATTGTGTGACTGTTGGTTGATAGCGGTTTGAGTTTTTTCATCCAGCAACTTTGCTAACTTGAAATTATATGTCCCCGTTGCGGATAAGATGGGGCGCATTGCTAACCGGCGCTTATGGGTTTTCGGCAAGCCATATAGGTGACCAAGCCTCGAACCTTTTTCAATGACTTGTTGGGCGATTTCTTTGCGTAATATTCTTTGTACCGCGGTGGCTAATTCTTTTTCTTTCTGTAATAGTGGATGATAGTGCTTTGGTGGTCGGCCCCTCATTTTTGGTCTTTCGGTACTTATAGGTCTAAACTTGCTGTCATCGTTGATTGATGATTCCTTGAGGAGATGCACATATTCAGGTTTGTCCATTACGACCACTCCTGATCCTCTATGGGGCTTCATGATAACATAACAATGTCAATTCGCTTCTTCAACTGGCCGATTGCTCTTAGTATTGATCTTGGTGGTGTAGGGATCTTACGTTCGGTGTAGTTCAAAGCAATAGACCTTAACGTAGCAGCTCCTAGTTCTTTGTTGACTTTGCTCAACTTCGGTTCTAATTCCAGAAAGCCTTTTCAAACGCTACTTGGATCTCTTTAGATGAAACTCACTGTGGAAGAGCGAAGTCAAGACCGCGACTTAAGGCCAGTTTCTGAAGGAAGGAGAGCTCGTGGGACGAGATGTTCTTGATGTGTTCGTTGATGCTTTTGTAAAGAAGCCTAGAGATCTTTCTGGTATGGCCATCCATTGATTGTCGATATTTTTCGTTACGCAGAGTAAGTATTCTTTTTACTATGCAAACGAAACATAGCAATGAACAGCTCGTTTTTATTTCGTTGTAAACATCTTGAGTTTCAGACTTTAGCTCAGCTAACTGTTTCCTCTAATGTATATTATTATTTATTATCCAACTACACCTAGACGAGTACAAATAACGCCATAGACGAGTACAACTATCACTTGCAGTCCTTATCTAAACCTATAATGAATTGGAAATTCGCGATCGGTGATAAAGATCATGACTAACTACCATGTGCGTCTGTACCATGGCGAGGAAGCAACGAAAAAGAAAAAAAGAGCGTATCAAGGCGATTCAGTCTTATTAGACCTCGAGAGAGCAGCTGAAATAAAGCCTATAATTTAAACAGATACTAGAAGATACGAATGCCAAGTCCATGGCATTCAAAACTGCTGTAATGAAAAAATTAGTGTAGTGTACTCTTTATGTTCCACATGTTACCACTGTATTGGATCGATCAGGGTTTTAATAATTCTGATGTGAAAATGTATCGGTATTGACCAGGCCTGGGTTATTACAGTTTCACATGCGGTTTTCGGTTTTGATCGATTTTTGTTTCGGTTTTTCGGTTTTGGATGATTTTTATTTTGCGGTTCCTAATAGGCCCCAATGCCCCTCTCTAAACTCGAACACGCGGGGCGTGTATATAGATAAATCAAGCCAATACAAATATCTTAAGCGCAACAAACTACCTTTGATTATACACCGTTTCGGTTTATAAATACAAAATAAATAAGATGACATACCTCTTTCCCCGTTCTATTATTCTAGCATATGAAAATCCTTCGATCTGTTTTCCTTTTTGACTAACACGTGTCTTGTGGCCGAATGAAACATTATGCCGACAATTCGAGAGTATGTGACACAAAACAGAACAAAACAAAAGGGTATTGAACGTCATGCAAATCAAAGCTAAAAATGGCCGTCATTGCGCCTATACTTCATGGTAATTCACAAATGTGAGTTACACAAGACCTACATTTGTTTAGAAGTTCTCTGAGTGTGAGTCATTAAATGATTACTAGTTGAAAATAATTTACCCTTACTTAAACCACCTTTCTACTCGGGCTTCCGAGTCTGAAAATGCAAGCCGTTTTGGTCGCCAAAAGGGGGGTCATGGTCCCTAATCTGAATTTCAGCCATCTCTTCCCTTTACCCCAAGGGGGGCGCGGGAGAGAGTCTCAGACTACATGGACCCAGGCGTTCCTTGCGTAAACCACGGAAACTGGGGATGAGAGGGCGACAACTTGTTATTGTGAGCTCGCTCTTCGTAAACAACGAAATTTACAGAATTCTGTGTTTTGTGAAGACCACTTTGCAAAGATTCCTGTCTTATAAGCTCATCCCACATGCAAATGCACACGCCGTTCGTGGTAGGCCCACGCTAACTGATGTTGAGTGTTTTCGGAATGGGCCAGTCAACGAACTTCATTGCTTGAAAGCTAGCCAAATGTGGAAAGTTCATATTTCCCTATGGTTCAATGATCTTGACTCAGATTGGTCAAAAACTGACAGGTGAATTCATGCATGGAAATAAAGTTAGAGTTGCGAAACGAGATGAAACCGTTGATTGTTTTGTTTTCTCTGGGTTCTTTACCGGGAGTTAAAAAACCCATTCCCAGAGAAAAGGCAGGCAGATCTTCATCGGCTTGTTCGCTTGTTGCCATGTCTAGTTTAACTTTTTTGCAGAAGTTTTTCCCGTTTTTTAATGAAAAATGCTGTGGTCACTCAGGAGAAAAAAATTTTTTCGCAAGGCATTTGTTTGCTGACATCACCAGCGTGCACAATGGAAAATTGAAGCACGCTTGCGCGTTTGAATTTGATTGCACGCATTTACAAGCTATGTTATAATTGTACTCGTGTTTGTTGTGAATGCCATGGCTATAAAAGAAGCCCGAGTGAACACTCCTCGAGCGTCTAGTTCAAATTTTTCTTCTGCATTTAATTTTTGGAAAATTGTCACAAAACTTTGCGATCAGTAAACAAATAGGAATGGATTATGAGTAAAGTGGAAAGGACTTGAACAGTAATAGGTCATTCCCTCATTTGTGCTAATTCTCTAGTTTTTTTAAAAGTTGATTAGAATCCCCTCAAATGCGAAGTCATTTCACATCATAACAGTATTTTCATTGCCAGTGGTAACCTTTCAGAAAATATCAGATGCCAAAGTAAGATTTGAAAACTATAACAACTGTGAGGATGTGTAATGATTACTTTTGGCGGTTAATCCAAACTAATTCTGTCCTAGAAGTTTGTTCACTGAATAGATGCCATAACTTACTCTTCAAATTTAGATGTAAGGAGTCTCTCAAGTGCAGGTAAAATTTCTAAACATGCCCCCATTGACAAGGCCTGTCCTTCAGGTGATACATCACGCACTCTGTCGGCAAGAAAACCCTTCGTCAGCATATTTGAAGAGATTAAAAGTCACTATGTCCCTGAGCTTTAGTCAAGTATTGTTTAATACTTTCCTTTTCAAGTGAAACCTCAAAAAAGGGGTATTTTGAGAAAGGAAAGACAACAAACACCACTTTGTGGCTACTACTTCCTATAGGAGGCGAAGAAGCCACACGTGTCGTCGTGATGAGTGAGTAAGTGAGTGAGTGTAACGATAGTATTAATTGTGATCTTGACCCGATGTTTCCCGGTGCTACTTTTTTCTTCCGAGTATCTTGCTTAGGGTAGTACGACATTCGAATTCAATTCTCAGCCGAGTTCTCTCCTTTGTGATTTCTGGCTTGTAGCCACTAGCACATTATATTTTCAGTTCTTGCCGTGACACTATGGAAGACAGCAGAAAGCGACAATCAACTCTCTATATCATTTCAGAATTGCACGTGATTTAAAACTGACAAAAGTTTTCCTTGCACAAACAGGAACGGACAAACGGGGGATCAGCAGAATATCTTGAGACGCGGATCAACGGAATATCATAAAATGCAGAATGCCTTCTTGTATGAATCAGAAGTCTCAAAAAAATGGAATTAAAATAAAATAAGAAAATTATTTACAATTAACAGGCAAAGTTAAAAGAAGCATAGGTAACCATTGTTTGAGCCCAGAGGATAGGGGAAGCACGAGGCTCTTGAGTTAGTCCCTTTAAATCATTTTTATATAACTATTGATATCATTATTATTACTGTTAACATTATTATGAGTTACCATTTCATCAATTAATTATTTTTTACCATCTTTAATTATCTTTCCCTTGTGAAACAAGGTACTCATATAATTTATGTGGGATGCAGCAGGTTTTCTGTTCTGGATGTGAGACATTTTCTGCAACAATATCTTCTAGCATCACTATACATTTTTCCAGTGCCTTAAAAATTGTACTATACCAGTAGCCACATGCAGTCTTTGACTGTTTATTTTCTAAAGAAGTTCTAAAGCTCAGTTCCAGTTCATAATAAACAATCAAGGGCTGCTAAATAGTAAAAATATTAATTTTGCTGCAGAAATTTATTCAGCAATCTTGCCTGGTTGTGATATTTAAACGAATTGGCAATAAAAACTGAGGAACAATTTTCAATGTCAAAGATATTTTTGCCTTCATTAACTTGTATTAAAACCGGTGTTTTTTTAAATAGTTAAAAAAGTTCTATCTAGTAAGGAAAAAGAATAACCTCCCTTCCCCCCCCCCTTGAAAATCAAGAAATAAATGGAATGTCAACTGCATGTATGTTTCAATCGGAGAAATCATAGGCACCCTTACGACACATTGTTTGATTCAGTCCAAAAGAAAGTATCCTTGAGATGAAACATACAATGTATGCTTGTGTAAAGCCACCCCTCCCCTTGAACAAAAAAGAGAAGTTCCTTCCTGATTTTTCTGAGCAGAGCAGTTAGACTAATGGCTAAATTGGAACGTGTGATCCAGTTGAAATGTGGTCTAAATCTGAAAGCCATTCCTTAGAAACAAGAGAAGAGTGAGTGGGCTAACTAGGGTTGCCTTTATGACAGATTTACAAGCATTTGTAAAGCTTCCACTTTGAACAATCTTACATCTTCCTGATCTTTTCAGCACAGGTAATCACAGGACTTTGAGTGCGATTTCGTCAGACTTAATTGTGTGGACTCAACATATCCCAGCCAATGCCCCGATCTCTGTGAATCTTTCTCTTGCTATGCATACAGAAATTCTATTTCTTCCAAATTCCCATGTTTCCACATTAAAAAAATCCTTAGCAGTGCCCACTGTTTTTATATCTAATATTACTTGATAAGGAAAGAAATAAGAAAGACAAATTTGGAAAGATGCACAGCACATGATTAAACCACATGTACGACTAGTTACTTATCACAACAGCTTCCTATTTTCTACCACACAAGTGTACCTGCATGTCAGAAATGGCATAATGTCAACCAGCACTGCATCATCTTTCAACCTTAGTGATTAAAAAAGCATACAAATAATTAAAAAAAGCAAGACATGTTCTTCAGTCTCAGAGGTGTCTCTGACAAAATTTCATCATCTGACCAGTAGTGTTCTGGTGGCTGAGGTGACCAACTAGAGAATCTAGATTTTCAATCTTGGCCAATAGAAGTTGGTGGTCTTTAAGTAACCAGGGTTGGGAGACATTCAAACTGAAGGTTTGGTGAAAACAACACTAGATGGCATGAGATATTAGTGACACCACTATAACTCTGGAAAAACTAGGAATTAGGTCCCCTCATGGTCCCCCTCATGGGTGTAGAAAACATCTCTAGAAAAATACTGAACTTTTTTGACAAAGTCCATTTCTCATAGACAAGCTTTTCTGATCATTTTGAGCATTCACTCGGTGCAAAATGACCAAATTGTAGAATAACAACAAAACAAACAAAAAACAATCAAAAACAAAGTTTTTAGATGATCTTCTGACTCAATCTAGAGTAAGATTGATGATGGATCCTAAACATTTGTCTTCATATTGAATCTCAGAATTCATATGCAGTTAATGCTAATTCCTCCATCTCATCTTTCAGTTACACTCAGAAGTGGTTTTAAAATCAGACCTTCTCCAAAGTACTGTTATTGATTGTCTTTTAGTACTAAAATGCAAGTTGAGTTTAGAGTAGGTAATTTCAATTGGCAATTTTGGTAATGTTGGCTTGTGGAAGATGAATTTTTTTATTTTCTTGTGACAATAGGGCTCCTAGCAGAATAAAAAAACATACTAGGTATCTTTATTACACACTTGCCATTAGCCAAGAGAGCAACCACCAAGCAAAGTTACTATAAGCCATACTTGACAACATGCATCACTACTGTGTGGATAACACGGTAGTGCTATAATGCCCAGAAAACAGAAGAGATTACAGCATTTTGACTATACATACAATTTAGGAAACACTAATTGTCTGTTTAACAAACAAGAAAACGAAGACATCACTTAAGTTAACTGAATTACTACACCGATGTAATTTTCATTTTGATGGGAGAAAAAATTAGTACACACTGGTGTAGACAAACTCCCAGTGGAATATGTGATGTACAAAGACCAGTCATCCAAGTAAAATGCATGTTACATAGCTTACCGCAGAAGATATTCTATCAACGCATTGGTGTCCTGTTTAAAAACATAAAGTAATGAGACTTGTTGGACTATAATCAAACACACAGAAAAAATACCTCACAATGCATTAAACAAAATTTGGCCTTAAAAATCACACTGAATGCACAAGGATTTGGTATGTCCACAAGGAGAAAAGATATATTTAAGTGTCCTTGAAAATGGATTAATCCTGTCTTAAATTCAGGTTTATTAAGTTTAAGTTGATGTTTAAGTCACTTATACCTAGAATTAAGTTGGACTTAAACCTGGCATATACTACCTAAGGCTAAAACATAATGAAGGTTTAAGTTCACATTACATGTGTCCAAAACATTCCTGTATCTTTAAGTAATGTTTACTTGAAGTAAATAGAACTTAAACATTAAATGTTGTCAAAGTACCATTTAATGCAAAATAATCTGCTCAAAATTTGTTGCTTTATTGTAGTTTTGAATCAAATTTGGGAAATCAGTGAAATATTATTGTTTTCTTGTTTTATTACTGAACTGCCACCCACCAGGTCACACTAAACAATATATTTTTCAAATTTCTTTACTTGGGCTTTCCGAAGGAAAAGCTCGAGGTATAAATTCGGCTTGGTTTCTTTTTTTTGCATTCAGTCACAAAATGCAGTTCCACTACAGCGCATGTGTGAGGTTTATGTGCATGCATAGAATGAACCCTAGAGTGCATGGTATAAAGCAATGGCTGCCTTTATTTATTTATTGCAATTTAATGGCAGAAATACACGGGTGCCGGTATGATAAAGTTGATCAGTAAATAAAAAACAAGAAATATCATAAGGAGAATCTGCAAAAGAGTCCCAGACCCCATGTAACAGCAGATCACCCAATACATATAGTACGAATGAGATACTATGTGGATACCTCATGGACACTTTCTTGCTTGATGTACGCGGAACCGGAGATTCAATGGCTATTACGCTCAACATACCTAACAAAGTCACACACCATTCGCAGTAGACCCACACCTAAACTTGTGGAGCGTTGTGGGAACGGGTCGGTCCGCGAACTTTACGAGAGATTCATTCAGTACGAGCAATACTTTACGAGTGAACCTTCTATTCAAGCACACTGAAGTCCTCCTGGCTACATCGTTATGTGAAGGTTAGAAGAGTTACAAAGAATGTTTGTAAGCTTAACACAAAGAGGGTAAGATTTGATAAAGTTACACAACATGTGAGGAAGTATTTGTTGAATTGTTCTGTGAGGGTATATCAAATGTCTTTTAGTTTGGGTGCGGTTCCCCAGGAATGGAAAAGAGCTAATATTACACCTGTCTTCAAGTCCGATAACAAAACCTTGGTTGAAGATTATTGGTCAGTCTCCTTGTTGTCTGTTCCCAGCAAGTGCCAGGAGAAGATCATTTATAATGCTATATTTCAACATGTGGCTCCATACCTACATGACTGGCAACATGGCTTCATTAAAGGTTGATCCTGTGTTACCCAGTTAGTGCTGACTCACCATCACTGGTCTAAAGCTTTGGATGCTGGGCATCAGGTTGATGCAGTCTTCTTGGACTTTAGTAAAGCATTTGACAAAGTATCCCACGTTATTTTACTGCAAAAGTTAGGTAACTTCCACGTCTCTGGTTGCCTTTTGAACTGGTGCAAAGACTACTTATCAAGCTGTGAGCAGAGGGTAGTAATAGATGGGGTGAGCTCTGACTGGCATCCTATCCCCTTTGGGGACCCTGTCGGCCCCCCCATTTTTTGGGATTTTTATTATCTTCCTGATGTTGTCTCTCCTACAAGCCTGGTGGCTTTATATGCAGATGACTGTAAAATCTCAAGGGTCATTGAGCATCCATGCGATCATGCATCATTTCCTAAATAACCTGGTTTCTTGGAGTCGACTAAATCATATGAGCTTCAATACCAAGAAATGGAAGTTAATGTGGATTACCAGGAATCGCTCCCCTATTCTTGCTCCTCTACAACTGGGTGGTACCACCCTTGAAGTTACAGCTGAAGTTACTAACTAAACACAAGCTGTCCTGGAACTCTCACATTGATAAGATTTCCAGCAAGGAAAACAGAGTGCTTGGTTTGATAAGGAGGAATTGCAGAAATTTGAAGGATGTTTCAACACAAAGAACTCTATATTGTGCTCTGGTTAGGTCACAGCTGGAATACGGGTCTGTTGTTTGGTCACCTTCCACTGCCAAAAATATTACTAAATTGGAAAGAATACTACGCAGTGCAACAAAGTTAATTCATTCTAAAATCTGATGATGACTATGAAGTTCGTATCTCTAAACTTAATTTACTGTCTCTAGAACATAGATGATTTCTTTTTGATGTACTCTTTTTCTATAAAGCTTTGAACGGATACTTTAATTTAGACATGTCTACATATCTTCAATTCTATTCTGATACTGATAGGTACCTCCTAAGAGGCAAAGACAACCTCACTTTAACCCATTGACGTCCAGTGCGCCCGTATGCGCCCATGGGGACCCACACCCTTTCTACGCCCTGTGACGTCATCACTTTTAGCCCTGGAGCACGAATTCGAGCACCTACTTGAACAGGTTGAAAATATCTTACAGACGATACCAGAATGAGCGCAATCGAGTGGAGGAGATTGGAGAAATAGCCAAAAAACCGTGTCACTTGGACCTGAAAATCTGCACGAAAATCGTCTTTCACTACCCACCTACCTTTCCAAGCCTGTGCTTTGAAAATAATGAGCAGTTTCTGAAAAATCTCTACACCAAAATGAAGCCTACTCAATTTCCAGCAAGTGAGGAGAAACTTTAGGCAAGGAGAGGGGAAAAAAAGGGCAGGAGAAAGAGAGAAAAGTAGAAGTCGTAAGTGGGGCGTGACTTTTCAACCCAAAAACTTTTGCTCTCTGCGCGTGCCCGAGATTTTCAGGCCGCCATTTTGCATTTGGATCGAAAGGCCGTCGAGTGCACGAGCTGTCAAGCGGTTTTTGGTAAGTTTGAGCTTTTAAAACCACAACAGTGACCCGAAATCTGCTCGACTAGCTTCAAAACACAGTTTTCCACAAAAGCTGCGGCCATTAATGGGTTAAAGAAGAACTATGCTCTAACAAACACGTTTAAATTTAGTTTTTTCAATGATATTGTGGACATGTGGAACCCCCTTCCATTTCACGTCAGATCAGCATCCAGCATTCCAAGTTTTAAGTGTGGTGTGATAAACTTCTTATTGAAAAACTGAATAGGCCATTTAATTGTAAATTATACTTTTATATCTTCTTTGTCCTTGTATACTTATTATGCATATCTTTTTATTAGCTGGGTGGTCTGTCTGAGCATGGGGTCTTTGACTCTCTTACAGACTATCCCTATGGCATTTCTTTTTTCTTTTGTTTTCTATGTTGCCATCACGGTACCCAATAGTTAACACCAAGGATTCACGGGTGAAGACACCCAGGAAGTCATTACATGCAAGGTCACAGAGCTTTGAGTGTAATTTTTGTCTGCCTTCATATGAAAAAACCGCATCAGCAAATGGCAACTCCTCAGAGAAGTCATACAGAGAGGTCACTACCTTCTGTTCCCTCAGAATTCTGTATCCTTCCAGTGCATCGTACATTCTGCGTAGGTCTTGATGCTCATTTATTATTTCCGGTAGGTGCCAAATAGCGTCCTCAATAGCTTCGGCCAACTCCACGAAAAATTCGATCTCTGTTACCACCTCACTTACTATAACGTCTGCGATTTTCATAGAGAGAAAGGCACATACGTTTATTCCGTCGTTATCTAACGCATTCTCCGACTGCTCAGCTGGTTCATCAGTGGCATTGTCCTTCAGTTGGACTGCAAATCGGTGGTCAAACTGTTGCACTGCTGTTGCTTGATTTACTTTCAGGTGCATAATGTCCAGATCATTTGAGACTCTCTTGCTCTCCCTGCTCAGGATTGTGGCTGCTTCTTCTAAAGATAGCTGACTATGTCTGTCGAAGTTTGCACATCCTCTGGATACATCCTCTAAACCTCTCCAGACGGTTGCGTGTTTAACAGCGTACTTTTTGTCAGCCAGGGGAAGTTTCTTTGGCGTAAAAGAGAAAAAATAAAAGTGTTTAATTGATCTTGTCAAGAAACGTTTCCCGCTGATCTGATCTCCGAATGGTAGGGGTACTTGACACTTGGATTGAAGATCGAAAAAATATCATGCCCAGGTCCCAAATATCCGCCAGCATGAAATCACCAATCGACGCGTCAGATAAGAGCATCTCTTTAACAAACAGTTCTGATGCCTCATACACAACTGTCCCTCAATCAATGTTGTTTGTTCATGAGGCAACAAACGACTGTGTTTGTACAATCAGGGAGCGACTTTCCCCAAAGTCGGTCAGCTTGCAGGCAACAGGCCTGGATTCAAATTGCCATGAAATTTCGTACTGACATCAGACAATTTATAATAGTGCTGATTGCTCAGTTATCAGTACGTTTGCTGGCCTAAGATCCCTATGGGCTATTCCTTTAAAGTGAAAGGGAGCCAGCCCATGGATAATCTCCTTTGCCGCATGATTCAGTAGATCAAACAGTCCTTCACAGTTAAACTTGTCGATTTGCGGCAGAAAATCTGCGAGTGAATGAACATGCAAATCATCATGCCCAAAGTGCTTGAAATCGAAATACATGTATTCGAGCATCATATCGAGCGGCTGGAAGGAACCCCCTTTCAATGTCATGATGTCTGGGTGATGCAAAGCTGTCATGCATTGTAGCTCTTATGACCTCCCTATTAGGCCATATAGATACTTGACCAAATTTTAAATACATATAATTAATCCAAGAAAGGAACGTTCTGCTTACTGTTGATTGTGAAATACCAAACAAGTGAGCTAGATGTTTTTCTGCAAATCCTCTTCTCAGTCTGCACAGAACAAGGAAGAACTCCGCTCTGGGTTCTAAGCTTCTTCGTCTACCTATGCTAGTAGATCCCTCTGGTTCCTTGTTTCCACCATCGTAAAACTCCTTTTGGACAGTTCTTTCTTTTGATGAACAGTACCTGATGT